GGGCATGGGTGCGCAGACATACACACACATACAACAACAAATAAATAAATAAAAGATTTACTCTTGTTAAGCACAATCAGTTAGATAATGCTTTAACCAACATCTCAAGCAGAAAGATGCTGAATCTAAAGTACACATATTGTCACTACTCAATTTCTGCAGTTCCATGGCCCCAGGACAACATGACTCCATCACCAGCAAGCAGACTTTTTGTTTTGAGTCTTCTTGGTTTCTTGATCTTATTAGAGAGTGTTTAGGACATGGCAATGACGAGCATTCTCAGTTTAAAAAAATGGCTTTCTGTCCCATAATTGGAAGGCTGAGGCAGGGCTATTCGGTGTTCCATGCATGTCTGGGCGCAAGACGCTGCCTTAAAAGATAACACAAGGGCTGACAAGATGGCTCTGGAGTAAAGGCACCTGCAGCACACACCGAGTGACCAGAGTCCAGACCAAGGTGAAGGACGTCACAGACCCTCAAGCTGCCCTCTGAGCTCCATGAGCATGTGTGTGCCCCTCCCATATCATGCACACACATACGGTAATAATTGTAAAAATTAAAAAAGCACAACCCCAACGTCTATGGGCTTGTTGAAATCCAAGCATCGTAAGTACGAGTTTTTAGATGCAGGTTCTACTGATGAGAAGCATCAAACCTTGTTTTGGAGATTTTTGTTGCTGTTGTTCCGTTTGTTTTCTTTCTTTCTTTTTCTTTTTTTTTTTTTTTTTTGTTTTTGGTATTTTTGGCTAACATTTCACTTGGTTGTGATTCAAAATCATATTTCTTTTAAAAAATTGGATTTATTTATTTTATATGTATGAGTGTTTTGCTTGAACATACACATGTGCACCATGTGTATGTCTGTTGCCTGAAGAGGTCAGAAGGCATTGGATACTCTGCAACTGAAGTCAGAGAGGGTGTTGAGCCATCCTGTGGCTGCTGGGAACCAAACCCAGGTCCTCTGTAAAAGCCACAAGTGTTCTTAACCACTGAACTATCTCTCTACTCCCAGAGTCAACATTTCTTATCATCAAAATCTACTGTCACAGGCTTAATGGTATACACATCTGTAATCCCTGCTAATCTGGAGACAAGGAAAGAGAATTGCAGATTCAAGGTCAGCCAGGGCAATTTATTGAAACTCAGTCTCCAAATAAAAATGTAAATGGGCTTTTGTAAAGGGCTTGCTTAGCATGCAACAGGTTCAATCCCCAGAACAGAAAATTAAAAAATCTAATTGTAAATGCTCACTTGTAATGCTTACATATATTTACATTTCTACATACTTCGCTGAAAATGTTTTTTTTTTTTTTTTCACAGAGATACAGGACACGGTGGCACCTGAACTGTTGTCAAGTTGTTTGTGTGTCAAGCAGCAGGAAATAATTCACCTTGTCTCAATGACCCAATGCTGCTGCTGCTGCAGGAGACAACCCTGATAATAGAGAAATTAACAACGACGATGACCATGTTGTCCTGATAGCGTAGAGAATCTGGAAATCTGGCATGATAGAGCAATCCTGTAATCCCAGCATTCTGGAGCCTGAGGCTGGAGGACTCTCAAGTTCCTGGTCAACCTAAGCTACACACGGAGAAAGACCCTGTTTCAACACACCAGCAAATCTAAGGACCACTGAAACTGATATAATTTCAAATGCCTCAAAATTCTATCATTAGAAAATTTTAATTACGTCTATTATTTTATTTTGTTTGGGGGAAGGGGGCGCAGGGCTGAGCGTGTGGCCATCACAGGATAACCTGTAAGCTGGTGCTATCCCCACGCCAACCCCCGGGTTCTGAGCATCAAATCCAGGTGATCAGGCCTGGCACCAAGGGCCTCTACTCACTGAGCTATCTTGCTGACATTTCCTTTGATTTTTAAAAACCAAGTAAACCACCACCACCAAAAACCCCCAAACCCTTTTAGATCACTAGAATTACATTACTAAAAGAGGCTCTGGGTAGGGTGTGGCATATGGGCTGTAGTCTGTAAAACCTGTCCTAAAGGCCAAGTAATAACACACATCTACAGTCCTAGCTAAGGAAGGTAGTGTTGGAGGTCAGCGCAGTGCTGGGGTCTGAGACAGGATAGGCAATACAGCAAGACTGTCTCAAAACAAAACCACCCGAACACCTAGCCTAGCCTTGGTCACTCTTGCCACACCATTTACTGGGCAGCCACCATGTCATTTTCAGCTGGAACACATTTATGGACTTGCTGGGAGTGTGACAAAGACAGAAGACCCAACTGACAAGAGTTCTCAGGGGTCAAGCAGGGACAATATTAGCAACAAATAAAGCAGTACTGAATTTTAACTCCAAATAGAAGACAAATACCTATGAGCCTGTATGATGCATAAATCAATGAGGACAGACGACTTTCCAGTACAGAATAATCCCAGGTAGTTAATGCAGATACTCTACCCCAAGGACGTGAACTGTAACTCTGTCCTGGAAACACAAACTTACTTCTCCATGAGGAGGAGATGGAAAACAACTGATCATGGAGAATGCTGACAGATGTACCTCACCCGGAGATAGCTACAAGCTAGCAGTTAGGCCAGCAGGTGGCATGAACCCTTGCTATGTGCTGAAAGTTAACACTTCGCTAGTCACCCTCTGGGAAACTCACAGCCCTAGTTAATCATGAGAAAACCTCCTGATGAAATCCCGCCAAGGACATTCTACAGACTACCTAAGGATAACCACTGGAGACTGTGAGGGACAGAAACAAGTCAAGTCGGAGAAAGTGCCCCAGTCAGGAAGAGATAAGGAGGCTGGGGGTGTAGGTGAGGGGTAGAGCGCATGTCCAGAGGCCCTGGGTTTTATCTCAGGACCAGAGGGGGGTAAGATAAGCAGCCACGATGACTAAGTGACCTGTGGTACCCAAGAGAGACTCCTGGAACAGAGAAGGGCATGAGTGAAAGTGAGGGAAATCCGAGAAAACAAAACCAAAACCAGCCACGGCCATTTAACGTGTCAATCCTTGTTCATTAACTGTATCAAATGAGTCATACAAGGCGTTAACGAGGGAAACTAGCATGGGATATAGGCGGACACTTGTTCATAGGACTGTAAATCTATATTGTCTTAAAATAAAATGCACAGAGAAAGTGTTTGAGGATGACAAGTTAATCAGTAATCTTAAGAGACTGTAGGTGTGAAAAAGAGAAATCTGGAGTTGGTCATGGTGGTGCACACCTGTAAACCCAACTGAGGCAGGAATGCAAATTCAAGGCAAGGATAAACAATTTAGAAAGACCCTGTCTCAGAAGGGGGTGGGGGTGGGGGGTGGGGTGCTAATGAAGTAGGTATGCTTGTCTAGCTAGCAGGTGTAAAGCCCTGGGGGTCTATACCCAGTAGAGAGGGTGTGTGTATGTTGAAAACTCCATGTGTAAATAGAGGCAGATGTTAATATAGACTCAGGGAGCACACACAGGGATAATTAAATTTGGAAAGTACTAGTCAACTTTGCTAAACGGGTTGTCCTATCTCTCTGAATACTTCTAATGTGCCTGCTAATTGGTTTTCTCTGGATATCTAGGTTGCTATGCTATTGGACATTTCCACTATGGCATGCATAGCTCACCAGCAATTCCCTAATGTCTTTCAATTAAAAATGCCCTGCTTGGCAGGGTGGCTCATGCATGTAATCCCGCACTCAGGAGGCTGAGGCAAAAGGATCACCATGGGTTCAGAACTGGTGTGTGTGTTTTTCTCCCTAGCTACCTTGGTTAGGTAGTTATATATTATCTGTGACCAGAATATGGCTATCCCTAGGTTTCTACAAATTTTATAAAGGAAGAGCATAGAGGTAGGCACAGCAGACCCCTAAGCCATGACTATTATAAAGAGAAAGACCCAGAGCTGGAATCCATATTTCAGGTCATTCTAATATTTCTACCATCTAAAGGAACAAGCAACTAAAATTACAAAAGTAAAAAAAAAAAAAATCTAACTCTTTTCACGTTTTCTATTGAAAAGATACCAACAGGTCAGACACAAATTACAGCTAACTTAAAACAACGCACTGTATGTACACACAAAGATGGACCGATTTGTACGGTACCAACAAGTGAAGTTGACAGTCTTGATGGGCCTTCATTATTTTTCACAATGAAAGCAAACCCTTTCTTGAGATTTTGTGAAAAACCAGTCCATAGCTTAAGTACCTACAGAAAGATACAGAAAAAGATACAGAAATCCACTTTCTTCTTCTTTTTCCCCCTCTGATGGATTATAAATTTTGAGTACAGAGCAAAATAAAGCCATTTAAGTTCTTGACGCAGGCAGCAAAACTCCTGACACAAAATGTTTTCGACCAGAAGTATACAAAGAAAATAAGCTCCAGTAACCCACAAATAACCTAAAATAGAGTTTAGAATAGTAATAGTCAACTTTATGTTTTGGTTCCGAAATGACACTCATGCTCAACAAGTACCATCAAAACAAAAACCCCAAATGAAACACATCCAGCCTGGGGACAAGAAGTCACTTTAAAATGTACCTCACATGGAATTCTTGAGACAAACAATTTTAACGAAGCTGTAAATAATTCTTCAAAGAACATTTTAAGGATTCCCGCAGGAGCTTTGGGGGACACAAGAATACTTCTCAGAGCACTAGACAAGGAAGACCACTCAAATATTCGAGCTTGCCCAATATCCCACCGGTTGGCTGGCATTTCTAAAAACACTGAAGATGCTGTTTTCACAACATAACTCAAGGCAGCCCGGATGCAAACAAACAAACAAAAAAACCCGACTCCCGAACAGGAGTCTGAATCGGATTAGCTGCACCTCTTGGAGGCGGGTGCGGATCTGAGATTAGCTCTGGAGAAACAGGTTTTGCAGCAAGAGGTCGTTATCTCGGAGCATCGGTTCGTCCTATTCTTTCAGACACCGCCAAGCATCAGCACGCGTGCAGCCTGCCCTCGCAGGGCCGCGCTCGGCCCACGCCGCTCCGGCAACCCGCGGGCGAGCCGCTGCGCCGGCACTCACCATCTCGATGATCTTGGTCTTGCGGCCCGTCTTTCTCTTCAAGGTGAATATGTACTGGGCCAGCACCACGCCCGCCACCACCGCGCACACGCTGGCGCTCGCCACCGCGCCCACCCGCGCCACGGCCGCGCGGTCCATGGACAAGCCCGCGTGCCGCGCGGAAGCCCCAAGACCCGCGGCTACGAGCCCAGGGGCGCGGCAGCACGCCGCACACCAGTCCTGAGCTCCGCCCCGCGCGGCGGAGACCGAGGAGGCCCCGCCCAGAAGCGGTGAGGGGCGGGGACAGCGGGGCGGGGACAACGTGGCCCGTGCCCGGAACCCCGCCCCTACCGCGGAGGCGGAACTTCCTCTGACTCAGACGCCAGAGCTACGCCGCAAAGACCCGGAAGGAAACCTCCGCAGTTCGCGCTAAAAACAAGTAGCGCATATGTAATCCAGAATTCCAGCGTTCCGGACGCTAGGCTGTGCCTATAGTACATAGTAAGACCGTCCCAGAAGTACACGAGGCAACAACCAGAGCCCTGCCCTAGTGAAAGAGACTTCAACCACTGCCCACTCAGAAACTGTCCCGACTCTGCCAACATGGACTACAACGCCCAGCAGCCTCAGCGGCGCCGTGTCTGACTTGCGCAGTAGCATCTTGGGTTGGAGGGCCAGGGTTTAGGCTTCCTGGGGAGCTCTGTGTGCTACAGGTCTTTCCTTCACAGCCTCATCCTACTAACTAGTTTAGCATACTTTCCTCAACAGTGTGAGCAGCCAGACTTGCAGTTGTTCTTACTTCCCAGTGTTTTTCAAGGGATTTGATATCATTTCCTCTGCTTCTCTCAGAATGAGTGTGACTGGGGGGTGCAAGAGGGATTTTTAGGATAGTCACAATTCTGTGAGATTAACGCTGAGGCTTGACCAGGCTCTCTCGGCCTGATACATGCAACCGAAGGAAGTCAAGAACGAATAACTGTGGAGGAGAAAGAATTCTTTTTTTCTAGGTTTTATTAGCTGGTCTAAAAGTAAATTGGTATAAGACATATTAACCAGGGTACAACAACTAGTGTATTGTGCAAATGGCAATCCCACAAAATTATGAGACTCAAGCTGGTCGTGGTGCAGCATGCTTCTAATGTCTGCACCCAGGACCCTAAGGCAGGTGATTGCTGCGGGTACAATGGCCAGCTAACTAGGGCCATGGGCCATGATTCTGGCTCAAACAAAACACCTCGAGAAAGTAGCCAAGAGAATGAGGCTAACATGTACCATCCTGAAAAAAATATATATTACATTTGACAATTCTAGAGTGAGGTGGAAACATAGGAGTGGAAATATACAGTGACTAAAAGTTGCCTTGTGCAGATGGAAATCTTTCCAGGGGCTATGGCTGTGAGCTCAGTGATAGGGTGCATATCAAGCCCTGAGTTCACAAGTTGTGTTTGGGGGTAGCTCTTGCCCTGATAGATGTACAAATGAAAAGTTCCACATATATTTCTTCTGCACAAAGGATGCTTAAAATTTTAAGGGATTTGTATTAATTGCTTTTCTGTTACTGTGATTTTAAAAAAAAATGACCAAAGAAACTTAAAGAAGAAAGAGTTTGCTTTGGCATATGGTTCCAGAGGACTAGAATCCGTAATAGCTCGGGTAGCATGGCAGCAGGTGGCAGCAGGTGGCAGCAGGTTGCTGGCATAGCAACAGGAGGAGAAAGGTGACAGCACACATCTCAGCTACAAGCACAAAGCAGAGAGAGCAAACAGGAAGTGGTGCAGAGTCTCCAAACTCTGAAAGCAAGCTTCCGGAGACATGCTTCCTCTAATGAGGATGCACCTCCTAAACCTCCCCAAACAGCACCACCAACTGGGGACCACATGTTCAAACATCTGAGCCTAGAGGGAACTTCTCATTCAAACCACTACAGAATTTAAGGGAAACTAAAGGGTATTTCCTGCTTTGACCAGTTTTCAGTATCTTTCATGTCAAAATAACTATTGCACCAAAGTTGCATGTTTTCTTATGGCATGGTCTGCTCTCCTTTAATCATATCTTGAGGGGACGTGGCTTGAATCTCATCATAGTTAAAGCTAAGGATTGCTTTTTCTCTGTGTCATACGTTCTTCTCTGCCCCATCCCTGGGGCCCTTTCATTCTTAAAGGGAAATATATAGAAAGATAATTACCAGAAGGTGGTTCAGAACCTGACATCTGAAGAAAACTCATGTCTGTAATTAAACATTGACTGTGCAGATGCCTGTCTTACTTACTTTTCTATTGCTATGATAAAGTACCACAACCAAGGCAACTCATAAACATTTAATCTGGCTTGTGTTTTCAGAGTGTTTGTGTTCATGACGGCAGAGTGAAGGAAGAGCTGAGAGCTCACATCTTGATCTACAACCAGAAGCAGATCAAGAGAGCACAGGGAATCACATGAGTCTTTTGATACCTCAAAGCCCACCCCTAGTGACACAGCTCCTCTAACAAGCCCCCTGTCCTAATCCCTTCCAAACAATTCTACCAACCAGGAACCAAGTATTCAAATATATGCATCTATGGGGGCCACCTCTTTCAATTCACCATAATGCCCTTTCCACATTTGTTTTGTGAACATTTCTCTGATGTCATGTAATGCTTGTTGAGGAAATACAAGAATAATTTATGTGAAATTCTATGAGCCTCTTTGAGAAAAGGGTACAAGAAATTCCAAATTACCTTGAGGAATGCCATGTGGATCTTAAGCATCCTCTGTCAGTGACCTCTACTACAATTGACAGAATTTGTTCAAGCAGATTTCAGACTGTGACTGAAGTAGGATGAAACTACTATTAGTTCTTGCAGTAGGAATATTGCTCTCTATTCCTTCTTTATAGATCACAGCAGTTTTGATTAATTGTGCTTGCTGTAAGACCAAAATTCAGTTAAGTATTGTGGTACTTTGAATGAAAATGGGCCCCATAGGCTCAAAGGGAGGGGCATTATTTGAAAGGATTAGGATGTGAGATCTTGTTGGAGTGGGTGTGGTCATGTTGAAGGAAGTGTGTCACTGTGAGTGGGCTTTGAGAACTCCAAAGCTCAAACCAGATCTAGTGTCTGACTGTCTCTTCCAGCTGCCTGTGGATCTGGATGTAGAACACTCAGCTACTCTTTAGCATGATGTCTGCCTGTGTGCCACCATGCTTCCCACCATGACAATAATGGACTATACCTCTGAAGCTATGAGCTATCTCTAGTTAAATGTTTTCCTTTATAAGAATTGCTGTGGTCATGGTGACTCTTCACAGTAATAGAAACCCTAATTAAGACAAATGTGTGTGTGTATGTATGTATGTATGTACATGTATACATACACATATACATACACAATGCTTATATTGACTACTATGTAGAAACTGCTGTATAAAGCCAATAGTGGTAGCACCTGCCTGTGATTACTTGGTAGTCCAAAACAAGTGAACCATGAGTTTGAGGCTAGTATGAGCACATACTAATGACTTATCTTTAAATAAAAGAAGGTAGACAGTTTATTGCTCTAACTAAGGTTTTGAGTACTATACTGAGTGAATAGAGAGACTAGTAATCCTTGTCTCATTTCAGGTTTTAGAGGAAATGATCTGGTATTTCCCACATAGTATAATGTTAGCAATAGGTTTGTTGTATATAACCTTCATGATGTTGAGATAAGTTTCTCCTGTTATGTTTCCTCAATACTTTTTTTTTTAATGAGGAAATGTTGATCTTTGTTGAAGTCCTATTTTCATCACCTGAGATGATCATGTGATTTCTGACCTTCAGTCTATTTATGCATTGGATTACACTTAATGATTTACAAATCTGTATTCCTTGTATTCTTGAGAAAAGATTAACTTGGCTATAGTGCATGATCTTCTGTATGTGTTCCTGAATTGCTTTGCAAGAATTTTATTGATAATTTTTGCATCTGTGTTCATCATGGAAGTTGGTCTATCATTTTCTTTTCTTGCCATTTTGGTGACATGATAATACTGGCTTTGTAGAATGTGTTTGGCAGTGTTCCTTCTTTTTCTGTGTTGTGCAACAGTTGTGGAGGATTGCTGTTAGCTCCTTTTTAAAAGGTTGGGAGAATTCAGCAGTCAATTCACCTAGTCTTGGGCTTTTCTTGTAGATACATCTTTTTATTACTGTTTGATTCCTGATAATTGTTACAGATCTGTTAAAATTGTTTATGTTTTCTGGATTTGATTTTGGTGGTTCATATGTGTCCAGGAATTTATACATTTCTCCTTGATTTTTCCAGTTATTCAGAATATGTTTTCAATGTATTTACTGATGATTCCCTGTGTTTCGTTGGAATCTGTAGTATTTTCATCACTAATTGTATTAATTTGGGTATTTTCTTTCCTTGTTTTGATTAGTATGGATAGGGGATTGTCAAACTTGTTTATGTTTTCAAAGAATTCTTTTGTATTGTTCATTCATGTACTTTTCATTAATTTCTACCCTAATCTTTGTTATTTTTCTCTCTCTCTCTAATATTTTGGGGTTTGGTTTGTTCTTGTTTTTCAAGGACTTTAAGGTGTATGATTACATTATTTACTTGAGTTTTTTTCTGATTTACTGAAAAATCTATCAGTAAAAAAGTTTTACTGGTAAACTTTCCTTGTAGAACTACTTTCATGTCCCAAGTATTCTGGTAGGTTGCTTTCATTTTTATATGAACCAAGAAACTTGAAAATGTCCTCTCCAAAGACCCACTGGACATCCAAGAATGCAGTTCTTACTCCATACATTTGCTTAGTTTCTGTAGTTTTTTTTCTAGTGATTTCTGGTTTTATCACACAATCATGTAATCAAATACAAGAGATTATTTTGATTCTTTTGCTTTTGGTGAAGACTTGCAATGTGGTCTATTTTAGATATGGTTCTAGTAGCTACTGACAAGAATGTGTATTCTGTATTTGTTGGATGTAATATTCTGTGTATACCCATCATGTCCATTTGATTCATGGTATAATTTAACCCTGATTTCTTCATTAATTTTTGTTTTTTGGATGACCCATATAGAGATTAGCATATAGTATTGAAATCACCCACTCTTATGATATCAGGATCTATCAGAAACTTCAAACCCATTACTTTAAAAATGAAATCAGGAGTCCTGATGTTGGGGGGTATATATTTATAATTGTTACATATTCTTGATAGATTGTTTACTTTATTAATATGTAGTGGCCTACCAGTGTGGTTTGAGTGAAAAATGTCCCCCATAGGTACATGTATTTGAGCATTTGGTCCCTGT